TCCGACCACAAATGAATCATATCATCCTGCTCAAAAAAAACCTTTAACTGCGTGAACCAGTTGAAGCCATTCGACGGGCTCCTTAATGCCAGAGCTCTAAGTTCATTAAAACACAGGCTGGGATATCTGGATGAATGCATACTGGAAATTTTTTGTATCCAGCTCAGTGTTAAACCCAGAACCCTATGAGCAAGGTGTAAGGATCCCGTCTCAAGCCTGACTGCGTAACCCGGGGTATTTATTGGAAGCAGCAAAAGCTTCTTGAAAAAAGCCAGCTGCACCCTTTCTATTTCCTCTAAATATCGGATCCCCCAAATCTGAATACCGTAGAACAGAACACTGATCGCTAAACTTTGAAAAAATTTAACGTAAGTGCTCCAGGAATCCGCACCCAAGGAGAAAATAGTTCTTAAAGTCCCCCCGGCCGCTAGACCCGCGCTAGTAATCGCTTTAATTGCCTGTTCTTCAAAAACGCATGAATTTGAAAAAATAACACCTAGATATTCGTACCGGCTCACAACTTCAATTCGTTCTTTACCAAAACTAAAATATTTCAATTTTTTAGCCCTTGACCTTCCGGATTTCGTAAAAACAACTATTTTAGTTTTAGTAGCGTTTACTGTTAAGTTATTTTCTTCGCAGTACAAACGAAGAGCTTCTAATTTTTTTCTCACTTCTGAAGGTGAATCTGAAAGCATAACAGCATCTGTTGTGTATATTGCACGCACACTACCATGCGTGATTAGCTTGGAATCCATCCTATTTTCGCATGGTGCTGTGGCAAAAGTCACAAAAGCCATGCATTTTTAGTAAACTCCTGTGTGATATTTGCAAAATGGGCTCATGTAAAAATCGAACCAATAGACTCCATGCATTATTAGGCTGATTTTTTTTTCCGTGCACTGTAGTAATTTTTGGTGAGCAAGTGTGGCTAGCGAGTGCAGTCATATGGCGCCTGCATTTCTATTGGTTGCTAACTTCGTCAATCTCCGTAAATGAGCCGATGCCATCCGACCATTGACAGTGACTATGTTTCGCGTATATAAAATAAATTTGGATATTATCTACAATAATTAAATATAAAGTGAAACGTAGGTCGTTCGTTATCTCAGAAATTGACCATTATAAATTAATAAATTTTGCATTTATTCCTGTCCCAAGAACCATGTCTTATAATAAGTTGTTAAAAGTAAACTGCTTTCTCGTAAGTGCTGTAAATTTTCATCATTCAATATATAAGGAAACAAAGATGTATACTTTCAGTGAAATTCGTTCGTAAACCGCGTCTATACATATAAGTGAAATAAACATGTGTGTGTCTTCAAATATTTATCCAACAAATATATAAGTGTGTGTGTGTCTGTGTATGTAAAAATCCTTCCAGTTTACCTCCATTAGTCAAGAATTGACGGAAAACCGGCGATAAAAATCCGTATTTTTTCTTTCACTCTTTCTTTCTGCATTTACAAACGACTATAGTAATTTTATGTACACAATACTTCTGAGTTTACTACAGTTGTTTGGAACTATTGGACGAAATAGTAAGAAACTTTGCTAATTTGGTGAACATTTGTCGGATTAGTGACTTAGTGTAGAAAATAGTAAAAAATACAAAAAGTCCCCTTATTTCCGGTGTTTGCAATGTGAAAATAGTAAATTCTAGTGTGATTTTATACAAAAATTAGTAACCTCGGTCTCTCCGTGTAATTAGTAAACCTTTTTTACTAATTCAAATTTAGAGAGTTTGACATAATATGTATATATTATGTAGATTTAGGGTAGGGTGGGGCATTACTATTCCTGTTTAGATTTTTGAGTCTAAAAGATGTATTTATGGGTAAGTCCAAGTTGTGAAATGTAAACAAACCAAAAGGTAAACAAACCAAACACATAAATCGCACTTTTGTAACAGCCATTTCTCCTACAACAATTAACATTTTTACACTTTCTCTACAAAAATGGAAAATTAGAGTGTCAAAGTGTCAAAAGAAATCATTTTTGACTATGAGCAATAAAAAGCAATTAGTAAAATAACTAATTAAGATGACCTGTAAAATAGCATTTTTTACGCGTCACGAAAAATAAACTGTTTGAGTATATCAACCGCACTGACGATGAAGAAGTCTCATGTCAGCGATTGGACCTTCAACATGTGGAAAGGGAAATTTTTCCCTTTCCTCCTTGAAATTACAAGGGAAAGGGTAAAAACTTCTTCATCGTCCGTGCGGTTGATATAGTCAAACACTTTGTTTTTTAGCGATCTGAGACTCTGTTGCTCTCTGCACATGCGCACAGCGTACTAAGAATGCATTGACAGCACCATGTGGAAGTGCACATTTTGTTTTTAATGAAACTTAGTTGTTTTCTCATTTTTTCAACTATGCAAGGCGTAGTAACCAAATTCAATACGTCAGTTCACCATTTTCATAAAGAAAATGTGAATTTATATTTATGTACGAAAATGAGACCTCGTGTAAATTTTTAAAACACTTGTAAGGTTATAATTTTTTTAGAAATTTGAGATTATTAAATTTATAAAGAAAGATGTGACAGATGTGCAGACCGTGGTCTGCAGACCATCGGTCCACTAACGTGCGAGGCACGATTGTTATCTGCGAAGATAAATACCAATCATATTGCCGGTACTGGAGTTTGTGGAGTGTTTAGAACAGCCCTTGAATACCCAATGGGAAGTAAACGATTGGTTCAATAATGGGCCATGCTTGGCGAACTCCGTTCCATTATTAGAACATTAATGGCAACCATCATTGGACCACCATTGGTTCAAGCTTGGGATGATCACGCTACTGCCAATGATCAGTATCCAAGCATCGGGCCAATATTAGTTGCCAAGGAATTGCCAAGGAAACAAAATCGATTTTCAAAAGCTTGATTTTTTATTGGCAGCCAACAAAAAACCAAGGTTTTAAAAATTTATTTTTTTAAATATTAATTAAAATTTATTTTAAAAAAATATATTTTTCAAAAATATATTTTTTTTAATTAATAGACCATATTAATTTAATTTTTCACCTTTGGTAAAACAAAGGTGAAAGATTTATAAAAATTCCCTCACCGTATCTCACAGTGGAGGGATGACTGTGAATGTCTTTGCGAGAGAGGAGCAGGTACTTATAGAGTCAGTGAAACAGGTCACAAGCGAGAAGGAATCACTAGCATGCACTCTGGCGGCGCTTGTCGGAAGTGGCGCAACGTTGGTTGCCAAGCGCTGTGCCGATAATGTCAGAATATGCATGCGCGCCAGAAAACAGTTCCGACAAGCGCCGCCAGAGTGCATGCTAGTGATTTCTTCTCGCTTGTAACCTGTTTCACTGGCTCTATAAGTACCTGCTCCTCTCCCGCAAAGACATTCACAGTTATCAATCCACTGTTAGATATACAGTGAGGGAATTTTTATCAGTCTTTCACCTTTGTTTTACAAGAGGTGAAAAATTAAATTAATATGTTCTATTAATTAAAAAAAATTGTAATTAATAATTTAAAAAATTAATTTTCAAACCCTTGGTTGTTTGTTGGCTGCCAATAAAAAATCAAGCTTCTGAAAATCGATTTTGTTTCCTTGGCAACTAATATTGGCCCGATGCTTGGCTACCGATCATTGGCAGTAGCGTGATCATCCCAAGCAAAAACCAATGCTGGTCCAATGATGGTTGCCAATTGTTTTGCCAAGAAAAAACCATTGGGCACCAAGCATGGCCCACTATTGAACCAATCGTTATTATTGGCAACTTCCCGTTGGGTAGGTGAAAAAGACCATAGGGATTGGAGAAAGTCATATTTGCGACAGAAATGCAGAGCCGCCATTGAAGGCAAAAGTCTTACGACAGTTCTGAGGTTGAGTAAAGGGCTTCAAAAGAAGGGTTACGGGTTTTAGTAAGTCGGGGCTGGTAGTAGGTAGCCAACTAATTAAGTTGAAATGTTTATTTATTTATTATTATTTTTCCCTTTATACCAACCCCAAATAACCATGTATTGTGGAATCCGAGGTATCTGTAAGCAGATTTTCCAAAAGTCCCTATGCACAGTTGGTCGATCAAGATAACAGGAGACGAAGAGTTTTATCTAATTAGCAAATTAGACCAATATATGAGTCGCTTGTTTTGAATGTTCTATGGGAATGACCAGGAACACTTTCAAAACTATAATAAGATTTAGAAGTTTCCATAACCGAGAAGCAACTGCACAAAATCAATTCTTATTGAAAGCAGAACAGCAATACCGCAGATTGTAAAACTGATTCTTTCAAAGATAGTCGACCACTTTCTCTAGATTAGATTTTAGTGTAATTAGATTGGTATGCAAAAACGAAAACAGAAAGGATAACATCGGAAGGGTTAGAAGATATTTAGGTTTCTACCTTTCAAAACAAGTGGATAATAAATTTGAAAGTGCATCAGAGGAAATACAGAATTTCTACTAGAATATCACTCAAATATATGATGAGGAATTTATGCAGTATTTCCACTAATTATAAAACCAGCTGTTATCGATGGCTCACGTAGTGAAACTGCATGGCTTGCGTTCATAGAGGATAAGCAGCATTTAAATAAAGAGAGTACTTAAATGAATGATCGTACATCAGCACTTGCTGCTTTTTTCATTATGAATAAGGTGCACATAGTGAGGGGTATGACGTCGAAGTATTACAATAAGCACTGACGATTATTCTTTGGAACACACCATTTGAACGGTTGCACTCAGAAGAGGTTTTCTAAAGTTTCCCTCTTCTCTGACAAGGAAGTCAGGGTGGTTTAATAGTTTTAATACTACTTCTTCTAATCTAAGTCTTTTCTCTCTCTCTCTCTCTCTCTCTGAAATTATGTAAATGCCTTAGGCAATAAGACATGAATAAATAAATAAAATTAACAGAAGCACCTGTTTATAATTATCCTAATCAACCTCTAGTAATATCAAACAAAATTAAGGGATCATCTAGTGCGAACAATGATTTTCAAATTTTATTTCTTTTTCTGTTACAGTGAGATTACACGATAGCATACAAGAAGAAAACTTCCACTACCTCGTCTTTGACTTGTAAGTTCTCAAAAGTTGGTTTGAATCTATATCTTTAATTAATTTTCTAAGAAAATTCATGTTGTCGTCGAAAAAATTGTTAAGGTAATTTTGCAACCAGAAATTCAAATAATTTGAAAAATAATATAAAAAAAGTTAGACTCTTTGAGAATAGAGAAAAATTGAAACGTGTGCAAATGGTAAAATAAAAAAGGGTAATGTCACCTTGAGTGGACCGCCTAAGCTTTTTTTCTAAAAAATTCTTTATGAAAGCAAATTAATCGAAGGTTTCTATTCCAAGCTTTAGTTTAGATCCCTAGATAAGTGTTTATACTATAATAGCTTTGATTTTTTTTTATTTGGAGAAAACAATTGACTTTAAAAAAAGATAATTTTTAAGGAATGAAAAAAGTGTAACCTTGAGTGGACTACTCCTAAAAAATTGTAAAAGTTATTCTAAATTTTTTAATGTATTTAATATTTCTGATATATTAAAACAAAATTTATGCTTATGCAGCTTCAGACCATGTATGTGTCGCAATGTTTACAAGTGAAACCATTTTTAATAATTTTGGCACATATCACATCAATATCACAAAAAAATTAATAAAAAACATAAAACATGGTTTTTTTAATTAATTATTTATTTAAAAAAAAAAATTATTCGATTGAGTGAGTAATCCGCTAACCGCACCATTACGACAGACGCGTCAAAAACAACAACAAAATATTTATCAATAGCCTAAAATTTAGTGCTCAATTAGTGCTTAAATATTAACACAATAAAAAATTGTTTATTAATTATTTATTTATAAAAAACATTTCTTCGAAAGAGAGAACACGTTAAAAATGTTTTAAATTCGTTTTATCAATAGCCTATAATTTAGTGCTCAAATAGTGTTCGCAGATTAACAAAATAAAAATTTTTTTTAATTATTACTTATTGAAAAGAAAAACTTATTAAAATGAGTGAGCAAACCGCTATCCGCACCATTACGAAAAACACATTAAAAACGCCAACAATTGTAAATTGTAAATATTTCGTTGGCGTTTTTAAAGCGTTTTTCGTTATGGTCCGGCCAGCAGATCGCTCAATCAGACAAATAAGTTAGTTTTTTAAATAAATAATTAATAAACAAATTTTGAATTGTGTTAATCTTTGAGCACTAATTGAGCACTAAATAATAGGCTATCTATAAATATTCTGATGGCGTTTTTAAAGCGTTTTTCGTTATGGTCCGGCCAGCGGAACGTTCACTCAGCAGAACCAGTGTTTTTTTTAAATAAACATTAAGCACTAAATTCGGCAATATGGTACAAAAATAGCACTAATTGAGCACTAATTAATGGTATAATTCAAATTCATTTTTATGAAAGTGGTTCGGTCAGCTTCACAGACCTATTCTTTTTCGTTGTTGAAGCTGCAGCCACTTTCTACCTGCAGTTTTCTATAATTTTATGAATTTAATTCGAAATTTTCGATAATTCGAAGTCTGGCGTTTCAACTTCGAATTACACAGGTCCACAAAAAAAATTCGTTGAAAGGTTCCTTCGACCAAACCTGGTGTATTATATGTTTTTGGGGTCGCTGAAAACGAATCTGAAGTCCGTTTTGCTCCATCACGTCAAGATTTTTCCTAACCTCAAAATACATATAAGATTTTACGTGACAAATAAAATTCTACACTGAAAAAAATTCGGTCGAAATCTTTAACTACTATTACCTAGTTGAGTTGAAAGTTGTCAAATTAATTACTTTTTTAGTTTTACTAACAATTTTTGTGTAGTTGATTTTACTACTTTGAATATAGTTGAAGAATAATAGTTTATATAACTAAAAAAAGTAGTTAAATTGCAAAAACAACTACAAAATCTAATTACATCAACTAAATTCTTAGTTCTTTTTACTACTTTCGGTAGTAAATATAAATTTTTAAATTCAGTTGAGGACCTATTGAATCACTCAGGGTAGTTAAAAAGTAGTCAAATCTACTAGTTTTTTTTTTGAGTGTATAAATATTGACAGATTTACCTCAATCTCGGTATTAAGGCTTTATTGGGGTTGCTGATTACGAACTTAGAGGCAGATTATCAAAATACAAAATGGCGGATCAAATATGGCGGTCGGATTTTTAAAAAATTCATGAATTTTAACAAAACTTGGTATCAAGGTGTTTTTGGAGCCGCTAATTACGAATTTTAAGTCAGATTTTCGAAATAAAAATGAAGGATTTAATATAGCTGTCGGATTTATGAAAATTTCTTGAATTTTTACAGAACTTAGTATCTGTGAGTTTATGGACTCTGACATATAACGGAATAACTCAGTTGCCCGACGTTACAACGTGAAGTTGCCTTGGATACAGACCCACAAAAGAATTTCTGCTCAGTGACCTTAAAAACACCTAGATACCAAGTTCTGTAAAGATTCAAGAAATTTTTATAAATCCGACCGCCATATTAGATCCTTCATTTATATTTCAAAAATCTGACTTTAAATTCGTAATCAGCGACCCCAAAAACCTCTCAATACCAAGTTTCGTAAAAATTCAAGAATTTTTGTAAAAACACGACCGCCATATTTGATCCGCCATTTTGTATTTTGATAATCTGCCTCTTAGTTCGTAATCAGCAAACCCAATAAAGCCTTAATACCGAGATTGAGGTAAATCTGTTAATATTTATTGAATTTTATTTGTCACGTAAAATCTGATATGTATTTTGAGGTTAGAAGGTCGTAAAATTAATTAAATTTGTATGATTGCTTGATTTTAACGACTAAATGTCATTTTCTCCGAAAATTTCATTTGTATTTTGATGAACGGGAAATAAAACGCATCAGGTCATGTGAACCAAGTAGGGAACATGTCATGATTATATTACTACAAGAAAAAATTGCAAATCGATTTATGAATATTTATTTATAAATCAGTTTTTACTTGTGGGGTCATCAACCTATCTATAAAAGAATTATAATATTTAAATATTAAATATTTGCAATTTTTAGAGTTACTGGCGGAGAACTCTTTGAGGACATCGTTGCCCGAGAATTTTACAGTGAAGCTGATGCTTCGCATTGTATTCAACAAATTCTAGAAAGTGTTCACCACTGCCATTTCAACGGGGTCGTACACAGGGATCTTAAGGTTATTATAATAATGACTGATATTTTAAACGTTTTATGTGACATTTCGTTTAACAAGGTTAATGTGAATACAAATTGTACTTAGTGTGTATAGACCAACGTGACTTTGACGATTGACTTCATACAATTAGCCATCAATTGCGTACAAATAAAATACAGTGTCGTGTATATGAAAAACTATAATCGGGTTCTTGACATACAGTTTGAAATGTGAACCAAATTTTGATAACAATTACATAGATAAAAATATTAGTTGATTCTAAAATAACAAGGTTGATTAAGGGGGAAGTCTACTGTGACAAGGGAAAAAACAGGCCGATTTTTGCGGATTTTTTTCTAACAAAATATGACTGGTACATTAAATTAAATTAAACCGCCATCTTTATTATATATGGACGTCCACATGAAAAGGGCCCGAGAGTCAATACTATGTAGATGACAACCATATTTTGTTTTTGATCACCCAGACGTAAGATTTCATGTACACCGTTTGTGCACCTAAAAAAGGACGGGCTTGCGCTTGAAGGAGTCCCACGACGGCAATTTTGAATATTTCGACTTAAAATTTTTTTTACAAATACTTGAATATATAATAAAGATGACGGTTTAATTTAATTTAATGTACCAGTCATATTTTGTTAGAAAAAAAATCCGCAAAAATCGGCCTGTTTTTTCCCTTGTCACAGTAGATTTCCCCCTTAAGACAAACGTTGATTTTATTAATTTCTATTTGTTAAATTTGATTTTTATTCCAAACTCTTATTATTTCAGCCCGAGAATTTGCTTCTCGCTAGTAAAGCGAAGGGGGCAGCTGTAAAATTAGCAGATTTTGGATTAGCCATTGAAGTTCAGGGTGACGCACAGGCATGGTATGGTAAGTAGTAATTATAAAATACGAACCTTGTTAACTTAAGATCGAAGAAATGTTCTAAATTGGTCTCTAAAACTTTGGATACTTATTCTCGGATAGCTGGAGATTTAGACAAAGAATTTGATTTATTTTACCGTCTAAAGTAAGATAAACATTTCATTGGTTGGTTATACTTAATAAATAAACAAATCCCTAAAGAAACTGGTAGAATTATTAATCTATAACAATGTGAGTCTAAAAGTTTATAAATCTAGTAACGGAAAAAAACAATTTGATAAGATAAAGATAAGAAGCTTGAGAGGAAATGTTTCAAAGGACTTTTTTTAAAATTAGGTTTTGCTGGAACGCCCGGCTATCTCAGTCCAGAGGTTTTAAAAAAGGAACCTTATGGCAAACCAGTAGATATATGGGCATGTGGGGTGATCCTTTACATCTTATTGGTCGGTTATCCTCCATTTTGGGACGAGGACCAACACCGATTGTATCAACAGATCAAACAAGGATCGTATGATGTAAGTTTAACATTTTTAACTTCAATGGCGACATTTTTTGTCTAGTATTTAATAGATATTAATTATAGATTTATTAATTAATTATTAATTATCTCTAGTATCCCACGCCAGAATGGGATACTGTCACACCAGAGGCAAAGAATCTCATCAATCAAATGCTCACAGTTAATCCAAGCAAAAGGATCACCGCAAGTGATGCCCTTAAACACCCATGGATCTGCGTACGTGATTTGCATTATTCTTTCAATTTTCCACATCACGTCTAGCAAATTATTTTAAGCTAACGATAACCTAATTTCTTGTGTTACAGCAACGAGAACGTGTTGCATCTGTTGTCCATAGACAAGAGACTGTAGACTGCTTGAAGAAATTTAATGCTAGGCGCAAATTAAAGGTAAGTTATTGAAATTTTTAATCGTTTTTTTTGTATTCCTCCTAAAGGCTGATAATAAAAAAAGCTACTGCAGACAAGATGTTTGTTGCAGCTCAAAATAAGACAATAACGTCGCTAATGATCCGTAAGTTTCTCATTTTACGAATGAGTTTCTTCAGGTTTTTTCAATGTGAGGTAATATTTTTTTGTGGTATTTTATAATCACTTGTGTTCTAAGAATAAAACTCTACAAGGGAATTCTTTTTCTCATTAGCCGCTTGTTTGAAATCAATGTATTATTTATTGAGTTGTGAGTTCATGAAATTTGCATCTATATTGTACATTCCGACCGTGAACCCTGGCCTCACAGACTCTTTGCTGCTTCATATTAATGTCAAATACGGTCTCTCATCTCAAAAATATCTCTCCTCACTGGGATGTGAAAAAAAATTCAAGGATGACGAAAGAAAATATATAGAAATGTTAGAAAATAAAAAAAATTTCGTCTTATAAACTTCTCTTTTTTGGTGAAATAAAGAAAAATTGAAAATTAAAAATAAAACACTTTTATCAACTAAAGTCATGGGGTTCCTTTCTCTAAGACGTCACTGTCACTGATTGTGAGCACAATAGTATTGCCACAAGTCAGTTTGTCCCGAATTCTCGCTGTGAAACGTACCAGGAGAGAAACTGACGTATTTCTCAAGATCTTAATCATTTTTCTGACGCAATTCGATTTCTTATAATCTTTTATATATCTCAAAAAATAATCATTTTTCCACTTTTATTGTTTGATATTTTTGAAAAAAGGAAATTTTTTCTAAAAGAAAGTATGGAGAGAAATAAAATTATCAACGTTTAAGAGATTTAAAATAAGACTATTGTTTGTTTGTAAAAAGTTTCGAAGGGTATATTTAATTTTTATTATCGAATTGAAACTATTTCAAAAGTAGCGGATTTTTATTGTGACAGTGAGGTTTTTTTTGTAAAGCTGTTGCTGAGAAAAGAATCATTTTTTTAGTGACACTATTCAGCAGAATGGGAAAAAATCCATCTCTCACTGAATGTTTCCATCAAAATTGAATTTCCGCTCTGAGGACTCTAACATTTCTTGTCAATATCGACATGAAGGCACTGAAAAACAAACTCTTCTTTTGCAAGCAGAACGAGGCCACAATTCCAGAGGTTAAGACACTGTTTTGACAAGTATATTTTAAGGAAATCAAAATATTGCCCAAACTTTATGTCTGTTCTTAAGTAGAAAAGAAGTGTTTCCTGCTTACGGTCAGTGAAGATTTCTGATCTTTCTTCTTGTCTTGATTGATTTGACCAACTTTAATATAATTTGTATTATTTTCCATTATAACTATTTCTGTATTTTTTCTGCTGTCTCTGTCTCATCCGTCAAATTTTTGGTATAGAGCGGAATCTCCCCTAAGATTATTTTAATTTGGCGATGTTGTCATTGAACAATTGATACGTTAGGTTCATTACTAAAAACCCTGTTACAAGTACTTGTTCTCGAAATAGTTACTGAGAGTGAATACTACTACTGCGTTTCCACTAAGCATTCAGCTTGTAATCTCAAAAAGGGAATGCAGGCGGGATGTTATCTGTTCGGCTTGTTCTGAAGCTTTTGATAAGGTTGTTCGTGTATGTTATAAAATCTAAAAGGGAGCTTTACCTTCTTTGAGAAAATGCAGTCACCAATATTCATTGTATCCGCCTTCTTCGTTAAAATTACCTTTTTTTCTAACTGATTATTTCTCTACTCTCGATTCCATCAGCAACACCTGCACAACTTCAACAAGTGATGTTGTTATTTTCAACTCTACCTTATAAAATAATGACTTATTCCACTAGAAAAAGAATGGCGAATGGCTACTAAGTCCTAAAAATTGCAAACAATGACTAATATCTAATGAGTCAACCATTGTTTGCAATTTTTAGGACCTATCTTACAAATTGTGGTTCTGCATCAAATAACTCGATCTACACGTTATTCGGAATCCGCTGTTTAAGCCAAACTCTAGAGTTAGTTCGATACTTTAATAGATCGGAATTTTATTGGTTTAAATAGAAACTACATATGTAAACTTAAAAATTTTTCTTTAATTTTATGTTTCCGACAAGAATTGCGGTCTTTATCGTGCCAACCGTTTTTTTAAGTCCAGATGTGCACCGCCGTCAACAATTAATTATAACTTCTACAATTGTTAATATTTCTTGTCAAACATTTTTTTACAAATGCTTTAAATATGTACAAAAACATCTCAAAAAGCCCGGAAGTCTAAGTTATTTTTCTCCTTCTAAAAAAAATTATTTAAAAAAGCGCAATTTTGAGGCCTTCTAAAGTAGGATCCCTCCTAAACTGAAGTCCCAAAAATACTAGCTTTACAAGTGTCTCCGTGGAAATTTTCTATCATACTATAAACTTATACTAAATTTTACGCCTACAGAATGACTTAAAAATTAAGAGTATTCGCATTTGCCTGGACCACCCGTCTAATGGGTTTTCTCGCCAGTGGAGAGGGAAACTGTAGAAAACCTCACCGAGTACAACCGGTTTATCGACAGTTGAGTTCTAATGGTGTATACCGGACAATAATCGACAGTGCACATCATTATACCTCGACTAAGAGAGGTTTTCTTTAGTTTTTCTCTCCACTGGCGAGAAAACCCATTTGGCGGGTGGTCTAGGCAAATGCGAATACTCTTAATTTTCAAGTCGTTCTGTAGGCGCAAAAATTTAGTATAAGTTATAGTATGTAAGAAAATTTCCACGGGAACACTTGTAACGCTAGTATTAAGGCAAAAGACGAGTGTATAAATAAAAAATAAATTTCAAAAATCACCAAAATTAAAATAATTTAACTCATCTTTTTCCTTATTTCACAGGGCGCTATTTTGACAACGATGATTGCAACGCGGAACTTTTCCAGTAAGTATGATACACAGGGTAAGTACCTCCGGCCCTCTTCAGCGTTTCATGGATTAGGACAAAATTTTGTATTCACTTCCTATTCATTATATATGTGTGCCTCTCAAAAAAACCTCTGTCTGCTCAAGTGTGAGCATTATTATAATTCCTAAAATTATCTAATTGAGCGTATTCTTGAGTGGGGAAAATTTATATAGAAATTTTAGCATTAAAGTGACATGAGAAGGGAGAGGCGAATTGTACTAGAGCAGGCAGAGGACTCCTATCAATCTATCCATTCAAACATACATCACCATAAATTGCAAAACATATATATCACACTACACTCTTCATGCCACTCTCTTTATAGAGCAAAAACTATAAAATCAGCCTGTGCTGCTTTATCTCCATTTTCTGCAAACTGTCAATTCTCATAGTGAATTCATCTTTTCAATGCAGCAGAACATCGGTACTTGAAGTGAAGCTCGTAAAATATTTTCCATTCATATCCATAACGGAAATCGAAATTTCCCGAGTTTATTTTTGTGGAATTTTAATTTTTTGTGTTAATGATGCTTATCATGAAACATAATAAACCCTTTACATCTTAAAATCCAAATGATTGAAAAGAAGCCTATTTTTGAGCTTAAATCTAGATTAAGTCAATTTTAGGACTTTAAGAATACTCCTAAGACTAAGCTTCAGTCAAAAATGTTTCTAATGTAAACGGATTTAGTCGAAAGTGGACCGAAAGTAAGATTTATTGATGCCAAAAATTTTGACTCTTTTTTATTTGATCCATATTTTTGATATCAATTCGTTGCATTTGATACTTTTATGTTATTGTTGATTCTTTTCAGCTTTATCTAGAGAGTGGTACACAAATTACACTATTTTTGATTGGGGGTCATTAGCCTGACTGCATGTTCGCCCGATTGACATTTTCTAGAAAGAAAAGTGCCCGATACCTTTTGCCCGATTTTGAAAGCCCGAATTTATTTTTTAGGATAAATTCTGTTTGGAAAAGTAATTATTTCCATAAATAATAAAACTCATCAGAGAATTTCAATTAGTTCTAATGCAAATTTAATTGAATTTCTCAAAAATGCCTTTATTCTTGAAGGTTTTATTGAAATTCGTGGAAAGAATTCAATTATTTAAAAATTTGTTAATAAAATTCTTTATAAGAATTCAATTTTAGAAACATTCAATTATTTAATAAATTATATATTATGGTATTTAAATAATTTTTGAGAAAAATCGACAAATTTTGAAAATGATTGCACTACGAATTTTGAATCGAATGATTGAAGTTTGTTTCTTTATATGTGAAGATATGCACTTATGAAAAGACGATTGTTGTAATCATGAAATTGACAATCAGGCATTACGAGTCGGGCCAAAGGAATCGTGTTAATGTCTAGACGGGCTAAGAAATATACGGGCGATAGGAGTCGGGCGAATGGTCGGGAACCCTATTTTTTCCTCTAAAACATGTGACTTATTAAATTAAATTTCAAATCATTTCCTTCTGTAAATTTTTAAGGAAGAATCTGACAAATAATCAGTAGAAAAATTAACCCAATACCATTATTTTGTATTTTAAATTAACTTATTAAAAACAAATTAAATGCATAATTTTTCACCATTTTTAAAATTTTATTTTATAAATTCTAATCCATCAGATTCTTTCTTAAGGGGTAACACCACTCTAGAGGCAGAAAAAAAGACCTATATGATTTATTTTGGGAAAATGAAAAAAGAAATAGGATTTCTTTTTAGAGGGTTTATTAACCCTTTAACGACGAGATGTGCTACTTTTCAACATGAAATTCAATCTCTTACAATTAGTAGAAAAAAGCCATAAAAGTTTTTAAAAGTCCATACCCTACTATTTTTGGGGTCGCTCTTTCGAATGGTGTGGTCAAAATTTTCAAAAAATGATATTTAACCCTTCTTTTTTCAAAAATACTAAAAAAAGTCAAGTTTTTTTAATGTAATTTTTTTCAAAAGAATTTTTTTCTGTATCATAACGCTTTTCAAATAGAACAAAAAGTATCAAAAACGTGTTCCCGATAGTTGTACTTGAAAAATATTCATTTCTAAATTTTATTTTTTTCGATTTTGAATTTAAAATGGCGCTTGAAGGACAAAAATTTTTTCTTATTTTACGTAAGATGACAAACTTTTTCAAAATTGCTCAAATCTGATTGAAATTTGTTGCTCAGGGGTTTTCGTGGTCGCTGATTACGAATCTGATGTCCATTTGCCAAAATTCAAAATGGCGAATCCAATATGGCGGATGACTTTTTAAAAAATTGATCGGATTCGCTTGAAACTCGTTACTCGGGGGTTTTCGGGGTCGCTGGTTACAAATCCGATGTTAGTTTTTAAAAATTCAAAATGGCGGATCTAATATGGCGGACGAAATACAAAAATTGTTCAGATTTGCTTGAATCTTGTTACTCGGGGGTTTTTGGGGTAGCTGATTACGAATTTGATATCAGATTTTCAAAATTCAAAATGGCGGATCCAATACGAAAGATGACTTTTTTAATAATTGATTGGATTCGCTTGAAATTTGTTACTCTGCGGTTTTTGGGTTTGATAATGACGAATCTGACGTTAGATTCAACAAATTCAAAGTGGCCAAAGTATAATGAAAGACTAATTTTTTAATTTACTCAGGTTTGCTTGAAATGTGTTAGTGTGGTATTTTTAGGGTGGCTGATTACGAATATGAAGTCACATTCCAAAAATTAAAAATGGCGGAATTATTATACTCTTTTTGCTCTGACTCTACCAGTATCAACTTATCTATATTTCACAATATGTGACAGGAAAATTTAAAAGTGATCTATGGTACGAGAAAATCGATGTTAGTTTTTCAAAATTCAAAATGGCGGAACGAATATGGCAGACGACATTAAAAAATTAGTCGGATTCACTTGAATTTTGTTACTCTAGGGTTTTCGGGTCCACTGATTGCGAATCCGATGTTCGTTTTTAAAAATTCAAAATGCTTGGTATAAAATAGCTCTACGAATTGGTAAGGATATTTTTTACACCTCGTCTGCCTTATCGATTCCACCATTTTGAATTTTGAAAAACTAACATCGGATTCGCAACCAGCAACTCCAAAAACCCACGAGTAACGTGTTTCAATCAGGTTTGAGATATTTTGAAAAATTCGTCCGCCATTCTGGATCCGGCATATTGAATTTTTTTAATCTAACGTCAGATTCGTCATTATCGAACCCAAAAACCGCAGAGTAACAAATTTCAAGCGAATCCGATTAATTCTTAAAAAAGTCATCTGTCATATTGATCAGCGACCCCGATAACCCCCGAGTAACGAGTTTCAAGCGAATTCGATCAATTTTTTAAAAAAGTCATCCGCCATATTGGATCCGCCATTTTGAATTTTGGCAAATGGACATCAGATTCGTAATCAGCGACCACGAAAACCCCTGAGCAACAAATTTCAATTAGATTTGAGCAATTTTGAAAAAGTTTGTCATCTTACGTAAAATAAGAAAAAATTTTTGTCCTTCAAGCGCCATTTTAAATTCAAAATCGAAAAAAATAAAATTTAGAAATGAATATTTTTCAAGTACAACTATCGGGAACACGTTTTTGATACTTTTTGTTCTATTTGAAAAGCGTTAAGACACAGAAAAAAATTCTTTTGAAAAAAATTACATTAAAAAACTTGACTTTTTTTAGTATTTTTGAAAAAACAAGGGTTAAATATCATTTTTTGAAAATTTTGACCACACCATTCGAAAGAGCGACCCCAAAAATAGTAAGGTATGGACTTTTAAAAACTTTTATGGCTTTTTTCTACTAATTGTAAGAGATTGAATTTCATGTTGAAAAGTAGCACATCTCGTCGTTAAAGGGTTAAATACATATTCAAATAAACAATTTTTTTATTACCAAAACAGGAGGACTGTTTTCTTAAAAAGTATATTACCTGGAACAGAAAATCAAGAAATTTCATAATCTTGTGACAAATTTTAAATAAATAACAAGTTAAATTCAAAGAGGTGAACATGTATTGATAATATTCAATTAATTTCAGAAAATATTACAACGTCTATTTTTTTTAGTATACAAAAAGAAAGTCACTCCACATTCAACATCACATTCACTCTTTTCAAGAATAAATAGCCATTTATAAAAATTCTGATCAGAAATAAAAATTACTAATAATTGTCGCTCGATTCCGGGTCAAAATAACAATTCTCGAACGAATCCTATCGTTCGTCGTGGGATTTCAGCTTCGCAAATTCGTGCGTCTTGCAGTCAATCAGGAGATTCAGCCAATATGGAGACGATGATTAACAAAGTAATTTCACGTAGAAATCTGGATTATTATCTGTTTCAGCTTGGCGAGTTATTTTTCCTTAAACAATATTTTGTATCGTCGGCGTTGAGATTAGCAACAACAGGCAAATCTTCACGCTATGTCGTTTAATCGTTATACACAAGCCGCTATAATAAAATTACCACCAACCCTTTAGGGCGTCGTGACAAATATCTGGATTAGCCAGTTAAACTTTCTCTCCTCGCACCTAACGACGTGCTCGGAGTCGTTGACCACACTGCTGATTTTTCCTTTTCGACAGAAATTCGACAATACTTCACATACATTTCGCACTCACACTCCTATTACTTCAAACTTGTCCGTTTAAAGGCGCAAACTCATCTTACTATGAATTCGTATCGCTACAATCTATATTATTACTTTTGGTAGTACGTACGGGATTTTTTTATATCAATTTTTGTAAAAATGGCGCACTTTTTGAGTAAAATAATCGATTATGAAATTTCTTGGTTTTCTGTTCCAGGTCTTATACTTTTCAAGAAAACAGTCCTCCCGTTTTCGTAATAAAATTAAAAATTGTCGATTTGAATATATGTCATCTGTCACCGTCATTTTGTAGTAAAATTTAACCCTTAAAGCGCACACTTACGAATCCATCCTCAAACCGCACACTGGGTGTGCGACACCCGGGGACTTTAAAGTGTGTTTT